GGTCCATCTACCTCTGGAGCGCAACTTCAGAATTTTAACCTTTGATCATAACAGAACAACACGTGTAATGAAATGTTAAAGCCAGAAGATGGAGTCAAAAACCCATAAACCCCACATCTACRCAAAGTAGGCTACTGACTCCAGATGGACTAAAGAAGGACTATGGAAAAAAGTGAGGGGGTGTTCCATGCTATAAACCTTTGAGTCAAACGCTGTAATGCAGCTTATTTATGAACTCAAGTCTGACTCTATTTGCAAAGTCTCAGTGGTTGGTGTACACAAACCTAGAAAACATGATAAGGAAGAACATAGACATTTAATAATATAATAATCTATCATATTTTATCCACTTCTTCCTTTCTGGGTCAGAGCTGCCCARATCCAGCAGTCACCGTGCCAGAGGCATGTTAATTAACACTAGTAAGTCTATCACAGGGCCAAATAGAGACAAAGAACCTTTCACACTCTCACATCTGGACAATTTATATGTCATATGTTTATACCAGTTATGGTAATGTGTATGGTATGTTTTTGGTCTGTGAGAGGAAACTGAGGTACTTGGAGAAAAGTACCTCATAAAACGTTCTCTTTGCCAATCATGCACAAAGAAACGTTTCTTCTCCACCCTGAGAGGTCTCAGGCTGGGATCCGTTCTGGAAATTCAATTCAGTTCAGTTCAAATGGGCAACAGCAACTGAGCCACCATGTCYCCACTGCTGTGTAGTTACTATATWCMGTATAAATAAAAGTACTTTCACCCCTTTTATCCACATAGGTAATCACTTTTTCCACTTCACGATCACCTGTGAAAAGCCTGCAACTTGATGGGTCTGCGCAGTATTTTAGCTGTTCTCAGGACTACTCTCTTCTACACAGATGGCTTCAGTTTTGTTCCTGAGATCTGTTGGAGTCACTCTTCCAGTTTGGGGGTTGCAGTACTGAGGTACCATCGTTTGGACCTGGACTGTTTGTAGAAGTACATCTTGAAGCTGTTGTTATTCATGGCAGTGCTCCGACTTGAGCAGATTTGTGAGCTCACTTTCCTCCCACAGACAAGAAGCAGCCRCAGGAGTTGTGTCAGAATGCTTCACTATTGACACGATCCTTTGACTTCTCTGGACAAATTACTTTCCCATGTTTGTTCTCTGTTTGATGTTTTAAAGGAGGAAGAAGTCACAGGTTGCTCTTTAGATTCTGTCAAACAGTTTGCTGATAGTAACTTAGGACTTTGATTTAACTCACAACTTTAACAATCTCAAGTTGTGACAAAACACACATCCAAACTAAGTGCAAGTAATATTTTTATTGATACATAATATCAAGTAACTGCATTTTTTTCACCCACAGAAACCAGTGGCAACAAGAAACAGCAAAAATTCAGCTTGTCAAATGCTTCRCTCTCATGGCTCCATGTGTATCGKGTTGTTTCCTGCTTTTAYTTTTCTGTTTTTACTTCCAGCGACCACCCACCTTCCCTTTGCCGTGGCCCTTTTTACTGAGGGCGAAAAGAAAAATGCATAAAAAAAAGTACAGTATACACTGGAAAAAAAAGTAATTGAGCTTATTGAAAAAACTAAGCAGCCTTATGCATTAAGAATTTTGAGTTTGCTCAATGGTTTGCCATCTCATTGTCCGAAGTACAATTTAATCGTTGAACCAATTATATTTACGTTTTTTTTTTTAACTCTTAAATCCTAATCTTGCCAATTTGAATTTGATTACTGACTGAATGGAGCCATTCACAAAACTAAGAAAGCTAGAATAACAGTATACATGGCAAATGTGTATGTATATACACACACACACACACACACACACACACATANGATGATAAACATTTGTATCAGGTCAACTAAACATGGGCATAGTAACAATATTTTTATACTACATTTATCCATTTTAAATACACTAACCTCACTCCTTTGTAACAACTAAGGCAAAAATAATTAATTCAGAAAATCTTTTCAGGACCCCACCTTGATGTTTCAGGACCCCACTTTGGGTCCCGACCCCAACTTTGGGAAACACTGCTGTACAATATAAAAATTACGCTTTCAATTTTATGGGAGCACCAAAAATATTGATTCACATCAGAATCATGACTCTCATTTACAACAATTCAGAATCAATTTAAAATGTCCCAAAATCGATTCTAAACAATTAAAAAAAATCATCCAGTGGCTGTCAGCCTCCATTTTGTAACAACATGGGATATCCTGACATCCACACAGATGGTTCTGGAACGTATGCATGCGCAGAAAGCACCAAAACAAAGAGGAAACTAGAAAAATGAATTGAGTTTTAACTTTACCCAGTTAAAATTAAAATCACAATTTTTTTCAGATGGGTGTGAAACGTGTTCATCTTATTTAGCTGTTAGACCGGACTGTTTTAACAAGACACAACCTCGACCTGTGGAAGGGTGGAAAAAAGGTGACAATTTTGTGCAAAAACCCRTTAAAAGAAACAGGTTGTGCAGTTCTAGGATAGAAAAGACTTGGTGGGGAAATCGGATTCTCAGAGTAAGACAAAAGCCAGTGAAGTTTCCTAAAGTGCAACAAAGATATAATAAATCATTTCCACTAAAGGATTTGCCTTAAACAGAAAGGCTGCCAGGCTTGCTGCTTTTCCCTTTTTAACACAAAGCTCTTTTTCTTGGAGGATTCCAAGAGTTTGATGCAAACAACACCGTCCCCKCTCCATCTCCTCAAGCGGGATCACCCAACAATTAAACGTTTGTTTAATTGTTGTGGGTAAAAAGTGATGCCAGTAAATCACAATGGACTCGTAGTGTCAGACAGACACAGAGTGTGTGTGTGTGTGTGTGTGTGTGAGACACAGGCATCAGCCCACACTCCTGCAGAGAGAGTCTCTGTATTCCTGCTGACCAGTAGTTGCATGATGCAACACATCATTTGTTAATCTGACACTAAATGCATTTTGTTACTTTCACATTGTGTCAAACTGCAAGCATTAGAATCCATGTCATCTGGATTCTTAGATGACATCATCATCATCGGTAATTTATAGCAGTGTTTCCCAAACTTTTTATCTTCTGACCCACAAAATATCCATGGCAAAAACTTGTGACCCCAAATATTACTGGTCTGAGTACACAAACTTTGTTGATAACCCTAAAAACACAGGCTTTTTGACAATCTGAACAGCTTGTACACAAATATAAATACTTATTTTTACCTATTTTGTGTTTTTGTAATAATTAGGGGGAAAATATTACATCAGTAATTATTTTATTGCCCTTTAAATTAATTTCTGAAGATTATCTAAGGTGCTTCATGACCCATAATTGGGTCCTAAGTCCAACTTTGGGAACCAAAGTGCACTGGTTCCCAAACTTTTCAGCTTTTGACCCACAAAATAACAGTAGCAGAGACCTGTGCCCCCAGCTATTTTTGGATGATAAACATTTGTATCAGGTCAACTAAACATGGGCATAGTAACAATATTTTTATACTACATTTATCCATTTTAAATACACTAACCTCACTCCTTTGTAACAACTAAGGCAAAAATGTAATAAATTCCAAAAATCTTTTCAGGACCCCACCTTGATTTTTCGGGACCCCACTTTGGGTCCCGACCCCAACTTTGGGAAACACTGATTTAGAGAACAATAAAAAATACATTTTTTTGAGGATCAGAGGAGTGTTAGGTAAAACAATTCTTCTAAAWGGGGACTGTTTATTGTCATGACAAGCTAAAGGAAATGCAGTCGGCTGAAACCCACCTGAGACCATCCTCCCTCAAACTGTCGATGCCCAGTGGCTCTCTTCTCTCACTCAGAGTCTTCCTTTTAATCTCTCTGCCCGTGAGGCGCTTGCTCTTCCTCGTTTCCGCCTAAAACAGATCAAACAACCCACGTTAACCCTCTGCAACACCCTCTCATCTTCATTATTGTTGTTGGGAATGGCCAAGTGTCTGACCTTGGCTAGAAAGCCTCCAAAGTTGGCTCCCATGCCTGACAGCACCTTCTTCTTTTTGGCATCATCGTCAGCTTTCTTTTTGGCCTCTTCTTCTTCTTTTCGGTGACGTTCCTCCTGCAAACCCAGATGGATGAGGACACATTCAAGACAACATGTTTGTGATTTAATGTCTGTATAGGAAAAGAACATTCGTGTGGAGGACTGTTTCTGTTACCGCAATTCTGTTCTGTCTGTCCTTCTCCTTTTCTGCTCTAACCCTTTGAATTTCGGCTCTCTCTGCTCGACGCCGCTCCTAAGGAAATTGTTCAGTACTTTACTTAACACATTTACATTTCACTTACTAGTTTCTTATTTGACTTATATTTTAAATATCATTTTTGGTTATTAATAAGATGCTCACAATTCGATCCTTGAGACCAATAAGTTCCTCTTCGTCTTTCTTTCTCTGCTCAAAATGCACATCAATCAGTGTATGCAGCTCCAGCAGATCCTTTTCCATTCGCTTTCTGTGGATGTCCTTAGAAAACAAAGGATGTGTGAGACTTAGACATTTGTAGAAACAGTTAAGAGTCAGCATGTTAAGATAAAGAAAGTGGTCAGACTGCCACGTTCTGCAATGTCAAGACAGAACTTAAAGCTGATAACAAAGATCAGCAACAAGTGTTCATTTCAAGTGATACTTTTACGACAATATTTGTAGAATTACTGACAAAACATTTAAGCATCCTTAAGGAACGATCTTAATTTGGATGTACAACCCCAYTTCCAATTGAGTTGAAATTTGTCTAAAAACAAAATTAAAAACAGAATATGATGATTTCAACCTAATCAARTGAATACTCTACAAAGACAAGATATTTAATGTTCAAATGGA